TCGTGCTCGTACGTCATAGCGTTTGATTCGGGTTAATCGTGGGTGCCAGAAGTGACACACAGCTTGGTCAAGTCATGCTTACGAGTTCGTAGTGTTCTGATCGTGTGRTGCTTGTACCGTCAATTCATTGGTKAATCAGACTTAAGCTTCTCGATGGATATCTTCGTTGAGGTTCTTCTGAYTTGATGTTTTGCTAGTATTAAATTGGGAGGTCTTGAAACATTGACACCCGTTTCAAAATTCGCATCCGCTATGCAGAATTCCGTGATAAACAGAACATCGCAAGCAAACTTTAGAAGACAAAAGATATCAGAACTCTCAACTCCTCTCATAAAAACTAAAAACGCAAAACGCAAAGCATCAAAGCAAATTCTAAACACTATCAACAAGACAAATCATGGTTGCCAAACTCCCAGAAACCAACAACAAGGTCRTYTTCGACAGCGCGGAAAAACAGCACGAGCTCTCTCCGAAGCAGCTCAAACGCTTGGAAGAACAGAAGGCTCGCGAGGCCAAAAAGCTGGCGAAGCGAAAAGCAAAGGCCGAGCAAAGGGAACKAAGAGCAATGGAGAAGGAATTCAAGGAGGCCGAGCGGGAACGTAGGCTCGAACAAGAACGGGAGGAAAATAGCGGTTTGAACGCTAGAGAAATGGAGGAACAAGAACGTCTCGCGGAGGAGAAAAGGCTCTTTGAAGAATACCTYCACCGGGATCGTGYACTTCCGGTCSCTCACGTCAAAAAGTCTACCCTTGAGAGCAATCGTCTCGGAGGTTCTCACATGTGCTAAGCTCTWACTGCGATGCCGAAGAATAATGACTCTTAGATTCACGAAGACACTGATATCAGAGAACAGCGAGAATAGCAGCTGTTCCTCTTCACTAACATCTCACTAAATACTTTTTTAACGCTAAATCCTTGTCCAACAACAACTAGAAAWTAATTTGTACTACATACACTTGCAAAGTCTCTTCTGAGACGTTATGATGACCGCACCACCAGCATTGCCATTAAAATTGCATCTTTATTCCATATCGTATGCGTGGTCTTCCTAATGCAAACTGGATATCCAGCCAGGCATTCTTCGCTTCGATGYGAATGCCTGAGATCTTTTCGGAATTCAGATCAACACTAGAAGTGATGACGCATCGTAYCGTATCGTACTACCTTAACGTAGGTATCTTGCCCAATTAGAGTATTCCGTCGGAACCTACGGTACTTGGTACGATAGGTCTTCTTCAAAGGATGCAAACAGCTACTGCTTTTCATGCACTAAATTATCAGGTGAATAATTACTGACATCAATCAATACGGACAGACTGCCGTTGTTACGATAGGGGACTGGTTAAAAGTGGGTGATGCATTTCTCTAACAAATCAGTATTTCTATTCTTAAAAATGATAATTTCACCATCGCTTTTTCATATTAACGCTTCGCTASGACTGTGTGAYATATCTCACGGCATTCRTATKGCTGTTTGACACAACAAGAACAAGAAACAACAATTCTTGGAAGCAATAGCATTTGYAGTACTACTGCTTCAGGTAAGATTTGTATCAGGGAATMAGTCAGGCAATAATCAAAGGAGTCTTTCCGTAGTAGCTATTTGCCAGTACTTCTATGCATRGGCTTTCTACTATTATTGGAACTATTAGAAATTATGGACCTATATCGAYAGCTTTGCCCTTTTTCGATCAATACTTCTTCTGTATCTTGATCTCCGTCTGCGTTCTATGCTTCGTCTGTATCGTATTCTCCTCCTTCGAGAAGTSGCTCGAACATATAGTCGACTTCTCACGAGGTCRACCTCCTTGTTTAACTCCTTCCGAGCGTAGTRAGATGTCAGTCCGATGGCCAATAAACCCAAGACCGCACCTGTTACTATTGCGGCGATCGTCGCCGTGCTGTTCTCGCTTTTGTCTGTCAAACTCCCTGCTGTGGCACCCAAGAATACGTAGAGAATTGCACCTGGCAATATGCAAAAGGTTGATAATGCATAGCTTGAAAATTTGACAGTGGTGACTCCGGCAATATAGTTGAGAAGGACGAAGGGTGTAATCGGACTCAATCGTAACAAGCACATAATTCGAAACCCCTTCTGCGACAAGGCAATATCGAGTGCCTCAAAAATGCTGTATCTCTCCGAGAGTTTACGAACCCGGTCAAAGAGCAAATATCGAGCCAGAAARAATGCCACAATGGCACTGGCAAACGATCCCAAAAAAACTGCGACGGTCCCAAGTATCACTCCCGTGGCGAGCGACCCATCGAAACTGGCACTGAAGACAAAACCTGCCCCAAGCGTGAGGAGGGCCCCGGGAACGCAAATGAGGGTAGCCGCAAAATAAACCAGTACAAAGGCAACTACTCCCATTCCTGGATTCTCGCGAATCCACTCGAGAAAGATAGTGATGACCTGACGGACGTACTCTTTGCCGAAAACAGAGTCGATGACCACGAACAGGACAATCGATAAGAAMAACAATCCAATGACAAGCTTCCGGTAGCTCTTGTACAGCGATTCATCAGAAACCGACTCGCTTCCTTCGTCATCCGTTGATTCAGAAGGGTTATCGGCGTCGCTGTTGTCTTCTTCGTCGAGGCTTTCTGTTCCGGTCTCGGTGTCATCGATCTCTTCTTGTCCGTCACCAGCGTCTGCAAGAACAATAGTTGTGCTCGTGTCCGTCYCACTAGGGTAGTATAACTCGACTTCGAAGGCTGATACAGAATCAACTTCTGTGCYTACCACCGCTGACTCTAATTCTTGCAGCRTGGTATTATTATCTTGCAGAGAACAGGACACGGAAGTGACAACAATGGTGTCGCTACTCATYGTCATGTCTGATATTTGTTGATTCCGTCGCAAACACCWGCTATTTGATTGTGGTTTCGACGTTGCTTTCCCCACRTATACCGCAAACAATAAATGTTCAATAATCACCAGTAAGCTTGAAGTATTTGATAAATGTTGGAAATAGTATCGTCAAGAGCCGTTGGTGCTGTATGAATCAGGAATTTCGGCGGTACTTCGGTATTTGAKAGAAGTATGTAATCTTTCAAASCAATCGTCACGCAAACCCAGGTTTCAGGAAAAAGCGATATCAGAGTTGTGTAATTGCCTGGGCAATAATCGTAAGACTAAAAAGAATAGAATATCATAATTACTATCAATGAATGATGGTCTGTAGTCGTGTGAGAAKTAGTACCACATCAGCAACGGAAGAAATCTTCTTMCGTGATGATTGACTTGCGCGCCAAGATGACTTCTTGGGCGCTTTTCACATATATATTCCCTTTCTGCTTTCTGGAATAACGTTGTGTGCTGCACGAATGAATCGTCAATTAAATTTGAAATTTGGGATTTTCAAACTACRAATTTAACGGTASGGAGGCAARTCTGTGACATGAATCTGGAATTGGTTACGGGTACGATTACTACAATAAAAACGCTCAGTTTGAGAAGAAACAGCAGATCTAAGCACCAATTCCAATAGTTTGATGACTTTACAGATTAAAGCAACAAAAACACCAAGAGCACGTCCAGATAGACCAGTGCTCCCTTCTTCCCWGTACCATTTCATTGATACACAAAGAGACAAATGCCCAAGCAGTGGAGGTGTTGAACATGATGTTCTTGTTTTCATCATTGGACTGGTGGTGGTGCGTCACACATGGTGGTGGTAGTATCTTCCAAAAGTATGCACTGCACAAAAAAGAGCTGTGGTTGCAGARTGTTGCTGTACCAAATTCCACAGCTTGTCAAGTTGCTCTAGTTGAAGCAAAATATTCCAGTCAACAGTGCAGTGGCTGTAATAAAACAAGGACTATTTTATTGATGAAGAAAGAAAGAACAAGGAGGAAAAGACGAGCAGGAGATTAAAGGCCTGGAGGCACCAAAGAAGAAGAAGTTTGATTTTTTTCAGATATTGCCTCCAGGTGGAAAGACAAAAAGAAAGAGGAACAAGAAGAGGGAAAGCTTTTCAGTGTCCTTGCTGAAACCATTGTGCTACTAGTGGTAAGAAGATCCATAAAAAGAAGCAACAAGTTCTTCTTGGTGATCTTTGGTTTTAGGCGAAGGATATTTCTTTCCCTCCAGAATTGTCTTGAACTGATGAAGATATGAACCAGCTGCAAAAACAGAAGGTAGATGAGATCACAATTACTAAGTTTATTACATTGCTTATGAAGAGAGAGGGAGAGAGAGAGGGTGGGAAAGCAGCAACAAGAGGAGTCTCTTTCCAATATTGCCAGTATAATTGAAGATGAAAGAGCTTGCTTTTTAATATTACTTTGGTGGTCTTGGAGGATGCCAAGGCAGCAATTGGAGCAGTTGAACCAGTTGCTCAAACAGTCCCTAACAGGGCCCAGTAATTAGCATYTTAGCAAGTGCCCAGGAGTTCTTACCATAATTGATGCTGACTTCTTACAATTTTGTCTTCATCTAGAAATCTCTTCTGTAAGAATTCCTTTATATTAGAACAWCTTCCTTTTTTGGTGCTTGTTTCCTCCAACCCTCTGCTTTTATTGCCACATTTTAGTTAGGTTCCACTAACAACAACTACTACTAGTAGTAGTACTATCATTTGATCTGCTATTACCTGCACATAGTAGGAGTGATAGAAGCAAAGATCAAGTAGTTGATAGTAATGCTTTGATTCTCATTACTAGCTTGTACTACTACTAGTAGTTATATGGATCAGAAATATCTTGTTAGTAATGGTGGAGTTCTTTCCTTCTTTCTAAAACAGATACTTGTTCTTGTACCATTTTCCTTATTGCAATAGTTTGTTTGCTGGCTGTGTTTTATCTGGTGATATCTTCATCATGTATGATACCATGTTGAATGCACRATTTGAACAAACTCTTGTGATGATTCTAGATGGTCTACACAGTCATCAATGAAATCCATTTTCCTAAAAAACAAAAAATGTTAGTGCTTCCTCTGTCCCAAAATGAAAGAGCTAGTACACTCTACTACTTCTGTTGAAATAAACTCAATACTTGGACAATATGAATGGCTCTTTTTATTTCACTCATCTACTACTACTACTACATTGATAATACACCAGCACCTGGTGCATACTAGTTGTTTTTAGGATCTTCTTTTCTCATCAAGCTCTATAGCTATTCAAAAAGGGTTGCTCTTTGCATACTATKATTGGTTATGATAATGTTGTATTAGCATGTCATTTCTGCAACAGTCATTTTGAGGCCAGCCTTGTAGCAATAGAAAACAGGACATTATTCTTGTTATTAGTAAGAAAAAATATTCAATATCATTGGTCATTTAAGTTCAAAAGAGGCAGAAGGTGATCCACACCACATTTTGCTGTGTCAATTTTAGGAAAAGAAACAATCAAAATCATATTCAAGAATTGTTCATTGCCACCAATGGTGGCTTTATAAGAACTTGCTTCAKCCTTTGCTGTGYACAGTGTTATTCTGCTACTAGGTAGAAACAGGGATAATAGATTTTAAAAAGAAAACTAGTAATACTAGTACTAATCTTTTTCTGAAATATATCTGCTTGGTGATGGTTCCAACCCTCACTARTATCACTACCAACAAGGTGGTATAGTTTGACTTTAAAACTAGAGAGGTTCTTGCTGGTGGTAGACAACATGGTGATTTTCCACACCTCCTAGTAGTTCCTTAAACCTTTGGATATGCAGATGTCAATGACAATGATACTACGTATTGATTTGATTGAACTAGTTTGACCCTGATGATGGGGGCTAGTTGTTAATACTAGTAKTAYKAMSAMMAMAAWRAWRAAARWRG